AGGAATTCACATTTCTCAGTCCATAGCGTGTGTGTCTGAGATGGGGAGTAGGGGTTGGCCAGTGTGTGTGTGTGGGACTTCAGGGGTCGGGTTCTTTGTGGGGGGGGGCAGTGTGTGTGTGTGTGTGTGTGTGTGTGTGAAGGGGTGATGGGGTGTCGGAGGGCAGAGTTCAAAAGGGAGACAGCTGAAGGAAAGAAGCTGTTCAATAAGAATACAATTGTCCACTTGTCTGTAAATACACTGAGATAATCCAATCAAATTGTATTTGTATAGCCGATATTTCACAAATCACAATTTGTCTCATAGGGCTTTAACAAGGTGTGACATCCTCTGCCCTTAACCCTCAACAAGAGTAAGGAAAAACTATCACATGTGAGGGATCCCTCTCCCAAGATGGACAGAAGTGCAATAGATGCCACGTGTAATGGAGAACATCAGAAAAATAAGAGTATTTACAGCATTGGTTAGAATAAACAGTTTGTAGCATGATGGAAGGTAAATGAATTGAGGAATTATTGTCAGTAATGGTAGAGTATCTTAGGAGACATATTGTATATCAAGCAGTCTTGTTGTAAACATAGTCCAAGATCAGCAGCCACCACAATCAGGATACACCATTATAATATCAGTGTATACAAATTAGTATGAATTCAGCAAAACATATGTTTACATTTCACGTAAAGACAACATATTTACTTGCTGTACGTGATACTAACAGATGTGCAGTGTGTTTATTCCACAAAGCTTCACTGAAGGTCATGATGGGAAACTACATTCTACATTTAAAGACACACACTCACGTCTTAGTAATGGATATAAAAAATCAGAAGCAGGATGCTACTGAATATTTTTAGGTATTTGAAATTATTATGCTGACACAAACACAGAGCGAGTCATTAATACACAAATCAGCATAAATATCTACAGTTAAACATGACATTTCCTCTGCTCATTCCTGACAGAGGTTTCCTACATTTCCCAGAATGCAGTGCAACATTCCCTTGGAAAAAATACTTTTTATGGGTCAATTAACACAACTGGTGAGCAGGTAACCGAAATAATGGAAGCCAGGGAAAAAATTGACTATTATGCTCCCTAAACAAAGCACAGCATCTATGAATGTGACTGTGTGGAGTTAACCCGTGTATGATTGTTAAAATTCAAAAAATACAAACATGACAAGGAAGGTTTAACCGAAATAGTTTAATGACTCCTGTAAAAAGACACTGCTGTTGACAGTGAAGAGTATAAAACATGATATGATTAAGAAGTATCTTTGAATAAGAGATGTACTGGCATTATTTGTCTGCCATGACAGAAAAAGATTTCTCTGTCATTTTCTATCGATCTGATTTTGTCTTATTTATTCAGTGTGTTGTTAAAACATTGAGGTTGCACTAAAGCTACAACTCCAGACATCCCTTTGATTAGGATTCCACACCTTGTACAGCTCCTGCAGCATCCTGGCATCCTCCACAGCATCATGAGCATTGTAGGAGCATCCAAGGAAGTAACTGACCAGAAACTGCTGGGAGTATCCGGGCAGATTAGGATAGAGCGTCTTGCCTAGCTGTAAGGTGTCCATAAACCCAGACACTACCTGCTGGAACTTCTGCAGGAGCTGGCTCTGCATCAGCACTCTGAAGAGCACAGGGGCATCAAAGCACCTTCCATTGTGGGCCGCCAGCAGCACGGGATGGTGGAAGGAGTGAAGGAAGGCTATGAAAGAGGTGAGAGCCTCGTAGACAGGGGTGGTGTGCATACGATTCCCATGGAGAAACAGGCTGCCATTACTAACGGTGAAGCCCGTAACCCGCTTGGCGGCCTCAGTGATAGCGCATACAGGGAGGGTGTAGGCGTTGAAGAGCCTCTCTCCACAGACAGCAGACAACTGGATGATGTCACACATGTCGGTGTCTGAAATTAGAGGAGGGTCTGATTAATGGGGGATGTAGAAAAGATAAAGTATAAATAATAATATAATATTTTTTTCTGCTTGTTGTTGTGGCTGCACTCAAAGAGTCCTTCTCACATAAGTGATACAAGCATTACAAAAATACTAATAAAGCAT